ATATTTCCATATCATAATGTGACACTAAGGCTCATTCTTTCAGATCCACACAATCAGAAAGTCATAGCACCGAGATCCAAGCCCAGGTCTGCCTGACACAAAGCGTATACCCTCTCCACCACCTTGAATTGCCTACAGCAGGTTTCAAAAGGTTATTCTTAGAAATGAACTACCCTCAATCTTCTAAAAAAACATGTTAAAGAGCAAGGTTTTACTTGGGTTTACTTACAATTAATGAAGAAAACATTAATCACTTGAAGTGCTATTTTGGAGCTCATGAAACTGAAATGAAGCGCAATATGAGATGTTCATTTATTTCCAAGGGGTTTATTTTGTTAACATTCAATCACTCAATCCTCTTTGCCTTATTTATAGCCTAAGTATGCTTTTTTAATAAGTAAAATCTTATTTGGAGTGATACAAGTAACAGCCTTCTTCTCTTCAAGATGCAGGGGGTAGAGGTTGTGGGCAAAGCCAAGACGTCCCACTGGACACCCCCCTCCACCCAGGGCAGAGTTTCTTCAAGGGTGGTCTACACTGGTGTTCCCCACTTAGAACTGTAGCCTCTTACAAGACCCCAACTCCTGCCAGGGTACGAAATGCCTAGGCTTAAAGCTTAGCTCCACCACTCACTGGCTACACGGCTTTCGATGAGCCATTCAAACGTCCAGAGCCTCAGTTTCCTTGTCTATAAATTGGGTGAAACCCTAGCCTGGAGGATTTGTGTTGAGAAAATGAAATGACACATGGACATGTGATCTCTTTTCCCATCCCTTCCTGGGAAAAAAGGGAACTGCAGTGGATGCAATAGACACAACCAAGAGAAGGTCTTTTTGACTTGAGAGCAGATTAACCCAAGTCTCTTCTTTATCAGATGGGAAGCCCAGTGTAGAAGAGGAGGCTATCAGTGGATTAGGGCACATTCTATGGTCCCCTAGGATTTGTGGATCCTGTGCCATCTCCCCTCCCACCCATGAAGGGAGCAGACACATAAAAGGCAAAAATAAAGCATGAATACTGTTCCTCCTCTATACCTCTCCCACCTTAGCAGACAGGATATAGAAATTGAAGGGAAAGGAAAGACCAGAATGGAGACCATTCATCATTAGATACAGTAACCACTACCTTCCCAGTATTTCTCAAAACATATTCTGTGAGTTCTTCTCCAAATTGCATACATTACATTTATTATAGAGAAAACTCTCTTATCTGGAATGCTCAGGACCCTAACGTTCTAGTGAACTAAATGTTCTATTTAACAGGGAGGCACCAGATCTCTCATACACGGAATTCTAGTTTTCAATGTTGGGACATGGCAACAGGTTTTTTGATCAAAGTTTTAATCAAATATAATTTAATATTTATCCAAGGGCTTCTAAGGTACAGTAGTATTTTGTATTGGCTCCAGGAAATAATAAGAAACATCCACTGTCTAAGACTTGAGGGTTAACATGTAGATTACTGGAGGTTTCTCATTTATACTTCCTTCATAGTTAAACCAATCTGGGTTGAATCCTAGCTCTAGACTTACTAGCTGGCTGTACTTGGGCAGGATAATCTCTACAAGCCTTAGTTTTCAATCTGTAAACTTGTAAACTTTCAATCTGTAAATATAATGGTAATTGCCTTAGGGAAACAATATGATAATTATTGTAAAGTCCTTAGCACAAAGCCTCACTCATAGTAAGTACGTAGTCAACTTTACTTTGACTGTTCTCTCTTTTGGATTCTATTTCAGCTGCATGAAAAATAAACATGCAGAGAAAGAACCAGGAAGCACTATGGAACACCTAACTGTCCTCGTGGAGGACATGCTGACAAAGCAAGTGATGGAGGTTTAGGGTATGGGAAGGCGACTTGCACATCTGCAGGGCACACACCCCGTCTTGTCTAATCATCATGGCCATCCTGTGGTTGGGAATGAAGGCTGATTAGAGAGGAAACCTCAGGAGGCCACTCTAACTGAGGGGTAAAATTTCCCAAGCCCGTGCCAGGGAAAACTGCTGTTTGGATGCAAGAGTCCTGTAGGTGGACAGTCACCGGTGTATCTCCAGTGCTGTGGTTAAAGTGCTCACAGCTCAGCCCCAGAGGGCCTGCCTGCAGTGAGTCAGGGAAGGACATTCTGAAACTCCTGCCCATACCTCCTTATGTGGTCCCAGAGATACACGCAGGCTTTCCTCTGCCATCAGTCACCCTTGGGCATCTAAAAGGCACAGCTGCTTTAGTCTAAGAGATGTTGCCTCAGCTACTGAGCCTAATCACTCATTCAATTTTTACTTGGATAATTATTTCCAAATGATAGCTAAAGGCCCCCTTTTATTTGCTGGCTGACCGTCTTACTAATGTGCCTCAATTTCAGTTAGGACAACTGATGACAGATCTCGGCTCAGACAGGTGGACTCTCCATGAGGACCCCTCGCCTGTGTCTTGCCTCCTGAAGGGTTTTTCCATGATGACTGGCTCACACAAGATGGGCTCAGCTGTCCAGTGGGCACCCAGGAAGCAAAATGTTGTCCCGAAGTGAACAGAAAAGCTCAACGGGCTTCAACGATGCAAGAAACGCTCTGGTGAGAGGAGGAACTAGGTACGTGCTAGGCAGCGCCAGGGGCAGCCCCCTGCAGCCCAGAGAAGCTGCAAAGGAAAGATTAGCAGGACATGAGGTTTCTCAGGAGCCAGAGAGCTTTGCTTTTGGAAGCCTTGCTCAGCGGTGATGACTGTGTTTGTACTGGATCTACATGGGATGCTTCCTGTTGGCTGCACTTGCCCAGGGACAGGGCTGGCGTGGGTGTTGAGAGCAGCACTGCTCCCCCAGCACGGAAGGAGAGGAGCTGGAAAGACCAGAGAAAAGCAGCCTGTGTCCTGCTGGAGGAAACACCTCTTTTTACAGTCAAGCCAGAGGATAAAAGAGCAGGGAGAAATGGGGTTTTCAATCTGCTGGGTTCGTCTGCAGTCCCCCACCTTGAAGGTGAGGCAGTGGTGGATGGAAGGGGCGTGGACTTGGAGTCCAGAGGTTCCATTTTGCCTCTGCCTATTAGCTGCGTGAGGTTGGGTCTCTGTCCCATCACACTGAAATGGGGACGAGATTACCAACCTTGCAGGGTGGTTGTGAGGTTACATGGAAGGACACATATACAAGATATGGTACCTAATGGTACTCCCCAAATGATCATTGCCTGTTCTCACTAACTTCCTTCCTTTGTCTCCACAGCTTTACCAACTGTGGGGAATTTCATACTAAAATCCAATCTCCCTGTCTCCCTAAGAGAACCCTGGTTTTGTTCAAGGGCAGCCATGAGCCTAAGAGAAGGACTGAATCTAGTAGCCTGCCTTGTAGGTAGAGGTGGCCAATGACACATAGTTACTGAGAAGGGCTTCAGAGAAAGCCCCCTTTGACCCTCACCCAACCTGTTCTTCCATCCAGGAACCACGGCCTGAGCTCAGGCAGAGCTGGGACAAGCCTGGTGCCCAAGAGAGGTTTTTTGACTGAACAACAAGAAAAAAAAAAAAAAGTGGCAGAGACAGCTAACATTTATGAGTGCTTGCGCCATGCCAGTCAACGTGCTAAGCCCTTTTCTTGTTTCATTTAGTTTAATCTTCAAAAAGACCCTATGAAATATTTTTCACCTGTTAACTTCTATTTACAAATTAGGAACCTAAAGTCTAGGAATACATGAGTATATGTAAGCGCAACTGAATGAATGAATGAGTGAACATACATACGAATGACAGCATCTTTTGGAATTAAGGAAGGAGAATTAGAGGTGGAGGGTAGGTGGAGGTTCCTATCACTGTGGTAATTTCCTAAATTACCACAAATTTGGTAGCTTCAAACAACACAAATTTATCATCTTACAGTCCTATAGATTAGAAGTCTGACACAGGTGTCTCTGGGCTAAAGTCAATATGTTGGCAGGGCTGTGCTCCTTTCTGGAGGCTCTAGGGGAGAGAATGTTGCCCTGTCTTCTCCAGCTTCTAGAGGCTGCCCACATTCCTTGGCTCAAGGCCCCCTCCTCCATCTCCGAAGCCAGCAGTGCTGGGCTAATTTCCTCTCGCGCCGCTACACTGCCATCTCTGTTCTGCCATCCACTTTTAAGAATGCTTATGATTAAGCTGGGTCCACCAAGATAATCCAAGACAATCTCCCTATTTTAAGGGCGGCTGACCAGCAACACTAATCCCATGTGCAACTTTAATTCCCCTCGCCAGAAGAGGTAACATATTTACAGTTTCCAAGGATTGGGACCTCTCTGGGGACCATTATTCTGCCTACCACAGTAGGTTTTACGGAAGTTTTCCTCATTGTTTACGGGAATATCTCTGTCATAGGAGCAGCTGCAGCATGTACCTAACTCTGCGGCGGGATAGCGTATCTCAGTTTAAGGATGACAGGAAGATGAGACCTGCCTGGTTCATGTTCCTGGCATGGTCATGGGGTGCAGTTGTGGTCACAGAGTCTCACACTGCCACCTGTGGATGCAGACTCCAATCAGTTCTCTGGGGGAAGGATGAGGGTAACACTGGCCGGTCACACCCAATGACCATCTGTGGATCACGGGGCTTTCCTCATCTTATATCCAGTGGCCACTGGGCATGTGGAATTGATTTGCAGGAAATTAAGGAGAAGAAAGGGAGGGGAGTTGCACGATCTCTTCACATTTATTTTCATACTCTTGTCTTTAATCAGCCATGAGATTCACTAGGACAGTGATGCCCTGACAGGGAGGTCGCCTAGCCCGGGTGACCCAGCTACTAGCTGACAAAGTAGAAACTAGGATCTGAGGTCTTCTACCCAGCCTATCCCTGAGCAAGTCTGACTGCTCCCCCACCAGTCCCACGGCCAGACCATTCTCAGGGCCTTTGATCCAATGCCTTTCATGCCCAAACGACCTCTTCTTGCCCTTGTGTGCTTGTATCTTTCCCTCTATCAAGACTATGCGGCCTCCAGGAAGCAGCCTCCCACCACACCACCCAAGTAGCCCATTCTGGCTTCTTGTCCTTACTTTGTGCAGGTCAGCCATTCCATGGCAACTGGTATCTCTGGTATGTCCATGGTGGGTCTCTGTCACTTGACCTTGGACCCCTGAAAGACAGTTACATTTTAATTGTTTTTAGTTCACCATCACTCCCACCTCCGCACCCGCCATAGTATCTTTTCCACCATTGACTGTCTCTAAATGTTTGTTGCTTAAAAGACAATTGGACTTCCCTGCTGGTGCAGTGGTTAAGAATCCGCCTGCCAATGCAGGGGACACAGGTTCGAGCCCTGGTCCGGGAAGATCCCACATGCCGTGGAGCAAGGAAGCCCGTGCGCCACAACTACTGAGCCTGCACTATAGAGCCCGTGTGCCACAACTACTGAGCCCGCGCACCTAGAGCCCGTGCTCCACAACGAGAGAAGCCACCGCAATGAGAAGTCCGCGCACCACAATGAAGAGTAGCCCCCACTCACCGCAGCTAGAGAAATCCAGTGCACAGCAACAAAGACCCAACACAGCCAAAAATAAATAAATTTATTTAAAAAAAAAAAGACAATTGGATGCTTTGAGTTGACCCAAGTCAACAGATATTTTCCTTTTAATATTTCACCTCAACATAGCAGCCTCAGAGCAAATCAGTTACCTTTTCTCCAATACTTCAATGAGTTTTTTAAAAATCCTCCACACTGTCTTAGAAACTACTGTGTCCCTTCTCAAGTCCCTGTCAGGAATGCTTTGTAAGAAATGCCTCTCTACTCCTCAATCAAAAAGCAAAAGCGAAACTAGTTGGTCCTTGAGCCATCACTGACTGGTGTTTCTGCAAAGTGATCTACTCAAGGTGACAACAAAGCAAAGCTCGCTGGTGAGGCTGAGAGAGGGATGCCCCCGCCCACCCCCAGGCTCTGTCCACCGAAACCAAGGAGCAGATGGAGGTTGTATGCCTAGCTGAGCACCGCTAAACACTGCTGTTTGAACAGAAACACTCCTAGGTCAAATCTCAGAGATAAATAGGTAATTACAATGAATCCTTCCTAATTGCCATCCTTCTGCCCAGCACATGGAAACAGCACCTCATTCATTCTTTCAGGGTGCTGAGAGGTGGGTAAGGCCTTCCATGCTGCCTGTGGAGCTCTCTGAATGAAAGGCCTGTGTCCCTATCCTGTGGCTGAGGTGACTGAGAATAAACAAGGCACATGTTTCCGGAGTCGCTGGGGGTGGTGGGAACATCTGTGTGCAGCTGCATTTCTCCGTTTCCGGGAGAATTAGAGAAAAAGATGGACTGGTGAGCACAAAACGAATCTGAAAGATGTTGTCCATCCCTGCCTGAACCTGAATTTGGGAGGCTGCACTTAGCACCTACTGTATACCAGGAACTGAGCTGGACATTTCCACGTTATTTCATTTAATCTCCACAACAACCCTCTATATTATAAATTCCATTTTATAGCTGATAAATCTCAGACTCAGGGCAATGAAATGACTTGCCCAAAGTCCCCCAGGTAGCAGCAGACAAGACCAAAATTTGAATAGTTTCTTCATTCATTTTGATTCACTCTTCAACAGGTATTTATTGTAGAGCTACAAGTATTTAACATAGAGTAATGGGCACCGTGTCCATAGACAAACCAGGCCATTGGGAGAGGCCAAAGTCCCTGTAGGGCTGGGCTTTAATCTGAGACTGGCCTGTATGTCCTAACCAGACGGCACATGCTGAGTAGCCGGGGCCGGGTCCAAGGAGGAACCCAACCCTGGAAAAATCTGTCTCTTCTGCCGTTTTCCTCCTTCCCAAGGCAAAGGATCACTAAATACAATTTCACAAGAGCTTCCATTTCTCCCAAGCCTGGGAGAACTGTCCCAGCACAGCGCACTAGTTCACGGTCATTTCAAAAGCAGCAGAACAGAGGAGGGATGGCTGGAGCTCAGTCAGCCAAGTTGAATAGACTGTGCTCTGGACCTCCAAGTGCAATTCCCAGGCTCAAGCGCTAAGTCTGATACCTCCTGGCTTGGCACAGGTCACGTCATCTCCTGGAGCCTTCGTCCCCCATCAAGTTAAATACTCCTTCTTGCAGTATTTGTAAGAGTACTTCTTGCAGTACCCTTTCCACTTATGGTGGAAATCAAAGGAGATAACATCCAGCACATAGGAAGTGCTTTCAACAAACATGAGAGAAAAGATCCACCAAGGCTGGCGGGCAACGTAGGAAGGTTGCAGAGGGAGCAAAACAAAGCCATGTTCCCTGGATGGAAGAGAGGAAGCCCTGTGAAGGCAGGGGCCACATCTGTGTCCCAGTGCCTAGGGCAGAGTCTGGCATATAAAAGGCCTCTTAATAAACACTTATGAATTTAGCAATGAATGAAAACTGGGCAGTGTCATGGGGGTACAAGAAGAGGTCAATGGCGGACAACGTGCTGGGCAAAACCTGAATCCTGGGGGCCAGGGTCTCGTGTCAACACAGGACCGGAGAATGAGAGAAAGGTCATCACCCTTCCAGACCCAGTTCCTGGAGGAAGGCAGAGCCTTGGTCTCAAACAGGAAGAAAGCGCCTGATTTCTAGCCATGGGGCACTTGATTTGCCAAGACTGGCTGCTGGGATGAGTCTAGGGCCCCCCGGAGTTCACAGCTGTCCCAGCCAAGCCCGTTACAACTAGGACCACTTCAGACATGCCCCATGTTTGGAACCCTTCCTCTGGAACTTCTGGATCAATTTGGCAGAAAGACAATGTCACCAAAGCCAATCCTGGGTCCAAAAATACAACCAAATGTGTTACACAAAGAAACATGGTGGATCTGGATTCCCGATGGCTGGGACTGAGGCCACGGGCCTGCTTCTTGCCTCGACCAGGCCTGTGTGGCCTCAGAACTCGGCAGGCAGGGCTGACGGAGGCCAGCCTGTCCCCTCCCTGCCTTGCACTCAGGCCAGGGCTCTGTGACCCATCTCCGTCACCACCCACCTCTGCCTGAGCTCCCATCAGCTTCTGAAATATTGTCACGATCCGGCATGAGCTGTGGCAGGCTACAATTAATTAACTCATCAGTTTTACTCTATCAGCAAGTGCAGACCAGGAATGTTAAATAAACAAATTAAAGGCTGTGGTTCACTAAAGCTCAGCCCAGTGAAATAATAATGAGGCAAAGTTAACTGCTCTGAACAGAAGGAGGAAGGATGTTATAATGGAATACACCAGGGCAGTCATATCCTAGAAAAAGGCAGAGAAGATCCTGCCAGGGGGACCCTCTCACCCTATGCTCCACTCGGGGAAAGTGGTGGGGACCCACAAGGACAGCAGAGAGAGCACAGCTCCACAGCCAGACGCAATTGGACTTGAAGCCCAGCCTGACTGCTTATCAGCAGAAATCCATCCCAGCCTGACTGCTTATCAGGAAGTCCTTAACTGCTTTGAGCCTCAGTTTCCTAACTTATCAAAAGGAGGAGGAAGGGGGCAGCAGTTATCTCCCGCCGCCGGCCGCCTGCGTCAGCGCTCACGTGCATGAGCCTGGCTGCTCCAGAAGACTGGGGCACGGAGGGGCTGACACCCTCGGAGCAGCTCTCCACCCACGATTAGTGCGAGCTGGTGGGTCCCCACTCTAGCTCCTCACCTGCAGGTGGAATGACTCCCAAGTCTCCCAGAGGCCCCCCTGGGGCTGTGCCCCAACGCCCAGAGCCTGCTGGTTCACGCACACTGTACTGTCTTCCTTCCCGCCCTCTCTCCCCTCCCCAGAGCCCTGCTGGTGCTTCCCTGAGCACCTGCCAAACCAGCCACTTGCGATCAAAAGCTGCTTCTGGGAGAATCCAGCTTGAGACACATTCCTTAGACCGATTTGGGGAGCTATTTTCAAATGTTCTGCCCCATCCTCTCTCAGTTACTTTGTATTTCCAATTCATAGTGGCCACGGGGCTTTAAACTTCTCTGAGGATAATGGGTCCGTCTGTCCCACTGGAAGCACAGCTTGGGGGAACTTGCCTTTATGGCCATTCATTTGTTCAGCAAACATATACTTAGAGCCGCCATGAGCCAAGGCCTGGTCTAGGGGCTGGGGGTCCAGCTGTGAGCAGTGCCAACAGACATCACTTGCATGGATAAGAGGCACAAACATCCAACCAGTTGTGACTCCGATGCAGGGAGAAGGCATTATCATAGCACAGGACTAGATGGAGGCCTTCTGCTTCTGGGCCCGGCATGTTCATTGCCTGCCTGTGGGACGGGAAGCACACCTGCCATGACCTTTGGCCTCCTCGGCTGCAAAGTGAAGATGTTGAGACTCTGGTTGAAAATGGGCCAAGAGCTCTGGAATCTTTCAGAAACTGTCTCGACCATTCTCTCAGACAGAAACTGTCTCTCTGTGGTTACTCATCCAGGAATTGATATCTGGGCAAGTTTCCAGCATCGCTGTTGGATGATAATGTCCTTTCCCAAGTTTTTATCTAGGCAGATCAGCATGCGGGGCTGTCAACGAAGGTCTGTACTTTTCCTCCGCCAGGGTCTTCTCTTTAGAAGCTGAGTGTGGCCCTCAGGGAAGGCCCCCTCACTCGTACCTGGGGCAGGAGCATCTCAATTCTCCCCTAATGAAATCATCGTGAAGGCAACTTGTTGGGATTTTCTGAGCTCCCATGCATGGAAGCCTCCAGCCCTGGGCTCTAGCACAAACCTCAGACAGTGTATCTGAAAAGCCAGTTAGAAAAGGCCCCAGAGAATGTTCTAGAACTTAGAGAAGAGGGATCCAGAGGGAGAGAGCTACACCATGGGACAGTCACAGAGGTGGTCTCACATTCTCCCCAGCCCTGGGTGTCTTCGAGAGGTGGCAGGGAGGGTCCCAGCCATGCTCAAACCAAAGAGACGGTAACCATCTTATAGGGCAGTGCTTCCAATTAGGGCCCTTCTAGTGATGATGGGTTTTCCCTGCCAGTTACAGGTAAGAATCTAAGTGACAAATGGTGATGGGGAGCTCCGTTATAACTGCACAAAGATCCCTCTGGCAAAGAATATTAATATGTTCCTCTCCTGCCCTCCCAACCACACACACACACACACACACACACACACAAGCGCGCGCGCGCGCGCGTTTACCCTGCTTTGCACTGTGCTAACACCCCTTCTACCATTG